CAACTAAAGGTGACATAGATACTTTATTATGATATAGTATTTAATTGTATGCCTGAGAAACACATAATATTGGCCCTTTAAAGGGAAGAAGGAGGATCTTTGTAAATGATGCAGTATTTAACAGGAAGCCAGTGTAGTTGCTGCAGGACAGGTGTTATGTGACAAATGGAGGAGTTCTGGTGATAATTTAAGCAGCAGAGTTTTGAACAGTTTGGATTTCCTTGCATTGATCTCGATGCAAACTGTTTTCTTCATCAGGATTCAAACCTCGTGTTCCACCGTGGGACATCAGTCAGAAGAGTTTATAAAAACAGAGTGTTTCTGAATAAAATGAAAAGCAAAGACCTTCTTTAACTCGACACATTGTACACCTTTTATCAGTCARATCTCAGCCTTGCAGTTCTTCAGCTCAGGCAGGATTTTCTGCTTCACCCGCTGGATGTATTTCTCCRAACATCCTTGAGCCCTGATACTTAACCTGCCTGCAGCAGGGCTGCTGCAGGGGSAGCGCAGAGGGTCTCCCTCTTGACGGATGAATGAAGTGTATAATAAAGAGGAAACTGCTTTCAGGTCAGCACTCGAGCAGCATGGATAGAAAAGCCTGCATAAAGCCAGCTTACAGGCTTTAAAATGAAGCTGCTGTTTGATGTGAGGAAGCACAAAAAGGAACAAGGAGCCATTTAGTCATCTTAGTTTTCGTAGCTCTCATTTAGCCAAACAGGAAAATACACTGGAGGTATTTTTTACTGTTTAAACTGACTCTACTTGAGCTCAAAGCAGCAGACAAAAGCACGTCTGGGATCATTTCCATTCATGTCCATCGTCTCCATTCAGGTTCCAAACATCTGTGCGTCTTCCGCTAGAGTTCACCCATCTGCCAGGAAAAACTGCTGCGCCATGACCAGATCCATATGTCGAGGGAGGCTTGAATACCTGCAGACAACAACAAAAAAGCTGTTATATGAAGAGGAAATCAAGAAGCCAGATGCAGAAGACGAGCGACGTGTGAAGCAGAAAGTGAAGTGAGCCATGCTTCCCCCCTCCAACCACAAACTGTGATGTTTCCAGTGCCGCCCTGGACCCRACCGGCCCTGCTGAGGACGAGCGAGGATTTAAATATCTGTCTGACACCATCAGCAGCTTCTGCTCACTGAGGTGTCCTCTGGCCACGGCAGCAGCAARGAGGAGAAATCTAATGAGCAACTTCACTCAGTTCTTAATGACTTCTCCATCTGTACACAATCAATCTGAGGCTGGCAAACATTGTTTCATGAGTTAAACAAGTCTAAGGATGTGAAAAAAGGTCTTGAATTAAAAAAACAAGTCAACATGAAGAAAATGTATAAAAATGCTCAGCTTCAAGTTTAATGAGCTGATCTACTTGTGCACCCATTGGATGGAAGTTGATCAGCATGCTAGTTTTTATTACAGTAGTTGGAATAAAAAAAAAACTACACAATTTCTTTCACGTACTTTGTCTTTATGAAAGAAGTTGGTACAAAGTTTACATACATATATGTATCATTGAATTGTGTCGTTTAACTGATTTAAATCATACTTTTAGGATGAATTAAAAATGCAACTTCAGCGATTTTCAAGTAGTTTCTTCTTCTTCTTTTGATCGTTTTGTTTTAAAATGCAATCCACAGATTTTCAAACTGTTGCGTTTTTATAAGACCAATTCAGTTTTCCTAAAGCTCTGACCTCAACTGGACAGGCCTTAATGCTCACTCCTTTATCCAATCAGAAACCAGTTCTGATGTGTTACTGGAACAACTAATTTTACATTTGATTTGAAGTGAAGTGATAGTTTTTCTGCATCACTGGCTGCTGTGGGCATAGCTAACCTCAACCCTGCTGAGAACCTCTGAAGCATCTTCAAGCAAAAGATCTGTGAGGGTGGGGGCCAGTTCAGTTCAATTCAATTCAAAAATACTTTACTAATCCCAGAGGGAAATTAGGTATTAGTTGTTATTATTA